CGGGGAGCCTGCCTGCCGAGTGTGGACCAAGGTAAGTTCGAACTAAGTTCGAACTAAGGACTTCGAACTTCAGCTACGTTATTCACGTAGCTGAAGTTGCGTACCTTAGTTCGAATTAGGGGGGTAGTGTAGACCAAGCCTAAGGTTTGCACAGGCACTGCTAGAGTCATGGCTTGGTCAATGTCTAACTGGGGCCAAGAGGTAGTTAGGACGAATGGGGAGCAGGAAGTCTGAGTTGAAAGACAGTAAAGGATGAAGCAGGGAGTATTAGTGAGGAGAGGCTGGGAAGCTGAATGGCAGCTGTCACTGGAGGCTAAGCATTGTCCTGCAAGGATGAATGGCTGAAGAAGTGAGCAAGATTTGGTTGCTGCCTCTGCAACGGAGGGTCGTAACCTGGATGATGCTCCTAAGGGTTGATCTGTTAGCAGCAGCGTGAGGCTGTTGGGGTGGGGTGGGGACTAGTCAACCCATCTAGATTAGACAAAGGGACCTACCTGGAAAGTGCATGCTAGATTCCAGCTAAGGAAAGACATTACAACACAAAAGCATTTCCTATTCAAAGAGCGTTGTTGACCCAGGACTGGGCTGTGCTTTGGGTTTACATAGCCGCTTGTCTCTTTCCCTCCCAGCAAGACTGACAGCGTGCCGGAGGTGTATGAAGGAGGATGTGTTAAAATGTAATCTTAGAGCTGCCTTTTTCCTTGGAGCACATTTCACACATGCACCATGATAGAAAAGGTGCATGCATGTAGGTCCCTTCTAGTCATGCTGTTGAGATATGTCCTCGGTTATAGTGGTCTGCCTTCGTGTTCCTCTCTCCATGAGTTACTGCTTCCCCTCACACGCCGTGTTAAATTATCAAAGAAAACCAATGCTTGCCAAGTATCTGTTCACTATCTGACCTTTACTTTTCTTGCAGACTTGTCACCACTGGCTCAGCCTGGCTGACCTTAGCAAAATTATGGGCTTCTGTTTTGAGTCTTTACATTACTTTGAAAACAAGCATTGCATGCAGCAGGGAGAAGGGATTTTGAAATGTTAAACTGCTGGGTCTCTTAAAATAGGGTGACCAGATGTCCTGTTTTTAAAGGGACAGTCCCGTTTTTTGGGACTTTTTCATATAGGCGCCTATTACCCCTCCCCCCCTGTTTCACAGTTGCTGTCTGGTCACCCTACTTAAAAGACATTTACACACTGAACATATCCAGAACCAAATGCTTAAAAATGCCCTTGGAGAGACAAGATGAGTGAGGACCAGCTTCTGCTGGTGGACGAGATAAACTTTCGAGCTTACACACCTTGTAGCGGTGTTGATCCCAGGATACTAGAGACACAACACTGCAGAAACACCCTGACCCTTGGCTATGAGTTTTAGATGGGCAAGTGGATTTTTGTGTGTCAACTGTTATGTTTTCTCAGTTGTGTGCATGGACTCCTTCAGTAGATCAGATCAGTTAGGTCTCTCTCCATCTGCTTGTCTTATTTTTTGTCTTGTTTTAGAGGACTGAGCACAGAAAGGGAGCCAGGAACGCATAGTTCTGCCGTTGACTACCTGTGTGGTCCTGGACTCCCTTTGACTTCACAGGGGCTGATCCAAAGCCCATTGTGGTTTCCTTTACCTGTACGGCTATAGTAACATTTGTCCCACTCATGGAGCGTTTTCAGGTCTAGCTGGAAAAATATTTGGACAAAGGAAAATGACAGTAATTGGCTCTTTGGTTAACACTACTCACAGGGAATTTTCTTTAGCGCTGATATTAAGCACATAAACTGTGTTGATATATGTCATGTCATTTGAGACCTCATATTTTCCAAAATAAAGAAACTGAATGAAAGCTCCCCACTCTCTGAAAAGGACAGAGGCTTAGTTAGAAGTGTTCACAGTGCAGTAGTCTACTCTGTTGGAAGGGAGTGAAGGTTGAGATGAATTCCAGAGTCTAGAGGAAAAATGCATTGATGAACAATTGACCCAGAATGGTGAAAGGAGCAGAGATGGAGTTTTTCTGTGAAGTCTGATTCATAGTCAGGATTTTATTGTATAAAGAGAGTTTGTTTTTTCCAGCGTTATACAACAAAAGTCATTTCCTTAATGAATGTGTAAGAAAGAGCTACTATCCTTTCAGGATCACCCAGGGAAATCAAATGACTGAGATTAGCATAAGTGCAGGCATATAAGAATGTGATTGCACAGTATTTACAATGAAAAGGGTTCATGGCTACAATTAAGGCTATTACATGAGTGGTTTTAAGTAGGATGCAAGTGCCCATAAGAGGAGAATAGAAAGTGTGCAATTTCATAGATGGTCCAAGGAATATCATTGAACATAAAAAATGGGATAACAATAATACTCAACTCTTATATAGATCTTTTCATCCGCAGACGTCAGAGTGCTCTGCAAAGGAAGGCAGGTATCTTCATCCCTATTTTCAAGAAGAGAGGATGAGGGAAACAGACAGAGAGAGGAGAAGTGACTTGCCCAAGGTGTTACGGCAGGTCACTGGCAGAGCTAGAAGTAAACACAGGAGACTGAACTAGTCTCAGGAGCCATATCTGCTGCCTCTCTTACTATGTATCACTTTCATCTCCATTAAATGATGAACCATAATTTTCAATCCCAATTTACCATTCTCATGTTCCCTCAGCTATATTGTGAACAAATAACTAACCCAGCAAAATGAAACAAGAATATTCCCACCTCAAAGTGTGCAATTCCACCACTTCCTAAAATTTCTCCTGGATTCAGAGCGCATTTAGTTATCAAACTAGTAAATACAATGGAGCAACTTATGCCAGCTGAGGATCTGGCCCAATAATATATATTAGGTATATTAAGAATATAAAAATGTCTGGTGAGAAACCATCAAGATCCAAGTGCAAGCAGCTAAACCCCAGAAAGATGGGAGCAGAACCCACTTTTCTGTCTTGTGAGTGTCTTAGTTTAGTTGTTGAGAGCCTACATCAGGGATCAGCCACCTTAGGCACGCGGCTCACCAGGGTAAGCACCCTGGTGGGCCGTGCCGGTTTGTTTACCTGCCGCGTCATCAGATTCGGGCAATCAGGGCTCCCACTGGGCGCAGTTCGCCGCCCCAGGCCAATGGGGGCGCGGGAAGCGGCGCGGGCTGATGGATGTGTTGGCTGCCGCTTTCCCCCGCCCCCACCCGCCCGGGGGGGCGGGGCGAAC